ATCCTCCATCTTTACTTTGGCGCCCCCCCCCCCCCCCCTTTGCTAAATCCTGTATCCGCCCCTGGTACATGTCTGCCAATATTAGCCTGTGTAATGTACGGGGGAAACTTTCATCTTAACTGGCCAGAAATAAAATTTTATTTTTATTATTAAACAATTATCGGTGGTTGTGGCGTTCTCTGAATGAAGGTAAACAAGGTTTAAAATTACTCTCGTCTTTCGTAGTCAATCTAGGCCTGGCTGCGTTGTACTGCAATTAGTGCAGTGACAGTCAGGCCATCCATCATCTATCTAAAATTGGTCATAGATTGCAAAGAGTATATCCGATTCAGACGTCCATTGAAATAGTTTACTACTATGTATAGGCTAGAAGAACAAAAACTCGTATCTGAAAACGCATGAGGGTCAGGATCTTGGTCAGAGATTTACTAGCTTCAACCAGAGATTACAAAACATAACCCGTGGTGTTAGCAGAGACTTATCCAGGGATTTACATTAGAATGTTGTTCTGCATAACCCATAGCCGGGAGGTAGCTGGGGCTTGCGCAGGGATTTTGCAGTTTGGTATCCCCGGCAAAGTCCCACGGGCCAGAAATACAACAATTGACAAGTGCATTATAAACATCCTTTTTTCTACCAGTAATAATGAAGATAATAAATTACACCCTAACAGAGTGCAGGCTGGTACTATAATAATAATTCAAGACATTTAAGCGACAAAGCAATGGTCTACAAATTCCATTTTACCCATTTTAAAGAGTTGACTCGACCAAAAAAAAAAAGAAGTGGAAAAAAGGATAGCCTTATCATTCAAGTAAGATGTAACTAATTAGGAATCCCATTTCAGTACTAGGCCTAGCTGGGTCTAGGGCTCTGCTGGTAGCAGGTCAAAACAGCAACAAACCAAAATGGCTATGACCAAAACGGCAATGAACCAAAACGGCAATGACAAGTACCAAAACAGCAACAGACCAAAACGGCAATGACAAGTACCAAACAGCATAGACCAAAATGGCAAAGGAGCGAGATCAATGCCAAGATTAGCAAGCGCCACCGGGCGCGGGCCCTAGTTTATAATTTTCTGAATCATTTTGGATTTGTCCCAATAGGCAAATCGAATAATGCCATGGGCTCTTCTTCCCAAATTTAATGTTTTTTATTATTATTATTATTATTATTATTACTATTATTTCGCATTTTTAAACTTTTATGACATAAATTGTTTAGCCTCATTTTTGTATTTGAAGTTTTATTTGTTTAAATGTTTTACTGCTTTTATGATTCCCCCTCCCCAAGCCTTTTAATATTGAATTTATTATTATTATTGATATTATTATATTATTATTATTATTATTGTTATTATTATTAGATATTATTATTGATATTATTATTATTATTAGTAGTATTATTTTTATTATTATTATTATTATTATTATTTATTTATTAGATTATCACTCCCACCCGCGTAAAAAATTCGGGAAATATTGATGTGGGAATAAAAGAAAACTTTTTTTGCCGCATCAATTATTTCAACAGCATAAAAATAACAATGCAATTTTGTGACTTCAAAATTAAACCATTTTTATACAATATTTACTGTTACTAGCCAAATATAAACAGTCCCTCCCTCATCGATAATAACAGAAGGGAAATAATCTATTTTTCCGATTAAAAAAAAAAATCTAATAATTTTTTCTATGTGCCTTAATAAAATAGGCCTAAATTGTTTAGCATCATTTTGGTCTTGCCGTTTTGACCAAAACGTCAAAAAAAACCAAAACGACAGCACTTTTTGACCAGAACATCAGTAGACAAAAACGGCAACGCAAAAAAAACGGCAACACTCCCAGAATGACATGCTGTATGGTAATTGGCAAATTGGCTAAAATACTACTAGGCCTAGGGAGTCTAAGCCAAGGGTGTAGTACAGGTGGGCAAAGTGCGGCCCGTCAGTGATTTTTTTTTGCGGTTTGGGTGTAGCCCTCGGTGTTAAATCAAAAGTTCAATTTGGCCCTCCGACCGATTTTTATGCCCACCCCTGGCGTAGACTAATTTAGGTCCTAGGTGGGGCTGCCTAAAAGGTACGAAAGTGTACAACGATAAATATGGTGAAAATGAGGCTAAATTGTCATAGCAGTAAAAAACACGAAAGAAAAACAAAATTAATAATAATAATAAGAATAATAGTATAACATACAAATTCAATAGTAAAAAGATTGGGGGAATCACAATATAAAAACAGTAAACATTTAAATAATTAAAACTTTAAAATACAGAAAATGAGGCTAAACAATGTCATAAAAGTGAAAAGGCGCAAAAGAAAAAAAAACCACCTTGAATAACAACATTAATAATAATAATAATGTATGTAAAATAAAAAATATCATGTTCAATAACTCCATTGAGGCAGTATATAGAGGCAGGTATATTCTGAAATAAACTTGACATGAATAAACAAACTTAGCTTGTCTATCCGTGGCTACAGAGTGTAAAATTATAGTCTATTTCCCTTATATAATGAACTGTGCCAAATCCTGTTCAGTGGAGATGTGCGTTCATACATACGAAGTAGGTCAACTGTACGTAGATTCTCCACAGAAGGAGCTTTTGTCCGAAATCGGGATAAAGTTTTCATTATGGTAGTTGACATTGCCGTTTTGGTTTTTTGCCGTTTTGTCCAGAAACCCTATTAATACTTTAAGCGTTCTAGGCTGAGCCTACTAAATACCTACCTGTCTGCATACACACACGTACTCTCTGGCCAGTCTCGCCTAGCTAGCCTTGCTTGGTCGTCAGACTCGTCCTCCTTAAACCAGGGCCTACAGTATAATAAATAGATTTCGAACAATACACCACCAAGTCACGAGCACACAATGACCTCTGACTTTTTATGAAACTCATGTAAACATATTGACTGGATACAATCAAACTTTCAAATTTACTGTATCACTCACTGCTGCCACGACTGAAACCTACCCACTGTGAGTACATTTCACCTGACCTGATCACGTGCTTTCACAGATGCATAACAATAACAACTTGCGATTTTTTTCGCAGTTGTTTTCAAATGTACTGAGTATTCGGTACATTTCCACGTCAGGTAGGGCAAAATTACACCTATACATGTTTTTCCTGACACAAATCCAGTTATTGTCTATTATTCCATCACGACAATAACAATTACTATCAATAACAATCATTACTACTACATGACACAGCAAACACAGTGAATTATTTTTAGCTATTTTGGAGCTACCTAATGATAGGACTATTCTGATTAGCAAGGAATTATTTTCTAATATTAAAAGCCTCAAAATATAGGCCTATATAATATATATACTGTCTCTTATACACATCTAGATGTGTATAAGAGACAGCCCCTATTATAGGGACGAGGACACAAGTTCTGAGTGGTGTGCCAAATTGGTCAGTACAGTCAGTAAATTTCAATCCCATAAGGTGACACTTTTTTTTTTATCCATACCTATTATTTTTAATTGTATCACTCAACTACTGTATGGATTCAAAATAACAGTATTCAGGGGCGGATCCAGAGATGTCAAAAAAAAAGAGGGTGGGGGGGGGAAACAAGATTTTATTTCGACGTGTTATCTTCCTCCGCGATAACACGTGTTAAGACATCAATAAAGTACAAAAAAAACAGGTTAAGGCAGAATACCAAGAGAGCTATTAGCCCGACACCAACCGGAGTGAATTCTCTATAAACCGCTAACCTGAAAAACAAATAAATAAATAAATAAACAAACAAACAAAACAAAACAAAAAACAATGAAAAACATTTAAAACATTACACAAGATTTTTTTTTTTTTAAATCAGGGGACACTAAGGCGTTTTTGCATTTTTCATAACAAAGGTGACATACATACTTATGATTTTGTTTTTATTGACATGAGAAATGAGTTACAATAGTTACGATCACCTTTGATCCTGAATTATTCAAATCCAATCTTAAATTCTCCCTCTTCAAATAGCTCGACTTCTTCCTAACATTATCCAGCGCCGGTGACAAGCCAATGTGTATTATTTAATATTATTATTAGAACCATAGAGATAGAAGATAGTATAATGCATACTCCAAGTACCGAAATGCACGCTATCGTGTCCCGACACGATGGCGTGCATTTCGATACTTAAAGCATGGAGAAAATAAATATATTTTATTTTCTCCATGCTTAAAGTATGTACAGGTATTATACCATCTTATCTGAGATTAATCAGTGGACCTTTCGGTCCACTGATTAATTATATAGAATAGATAGATTAATTATAAAGAAAGAAAATGGACTAATATAGCAATTTTGCAATGCAAATACAATTCACTTATGAAATCAGCAGAAATGAAATTAAAACAACAATAGTTGTCAGTATACTCCCCTAAAATTTTGCCTTTTCTCGCACTTTCCCCTCCCACTCAGTCAGAAGCTGGCACCGCCACTGGCCGTAGTGTTAAGATATATTTCTTCTCTTAGTGGCCCTTAATAGGGTGTTGCCTACTATCACAAAGGAGGAGTTCTGTAGAATGATAAGAACAAAATTAACACAGCATAAAAAAGCTCTTTATTAAAACACATACAAGGTGAGCGGTTGGTATTATTACTATTATTTATGTTATTATTTATATAATTATTATTATTATTATTTATATTATTATTATTATTATTATTATTATTATTAATTATTATTATTATTATTTACACTTATATGCGCTTAACATTCGATGAAAATTGATCCCGTTTTTGATAACATTTATAGTAAAATCTCTTTTCACGGAAGTGGCCCTAGGGTGTTGCCTGCTGTCACAAAGGAGGAGTTCTGTAGAATGATAAGAACAAATATAAACAGAGAACAGTGAAATTACACTGTTGATTTCACTATTCCCTGATATAACACAGCATAAGAAAGCTCTTTATTAAAACACTTACAAGGTAAGCGGTTGGCTATTATTATTATTTATATTATTATTATTATTATTATTATTATTATTATTATTATTATTATTATTAATTAATTAATATTTACACCTATATGCGCTTAACATTCGATGAAAATTGATCCCGTTTTTTGATAATAATTATTAGAGTAAAATGTTTTTGAAAAGTTTTCCGATTAATTTTCTTGTGCAGATGACTATCTGTTAATATGGAGCGTCGGCTATATCTAAAACAGCAGTAGATAGAGTCTTATGTTTGTTCAAACCAAGTCCATGGTTTGTTTGGGTTTTTAACCTCCTAAGTTGCATCAAGGACTTATAACATTGTTGCATAGTTTGATAAGGTTGGGCATGGAGTATTGTAACTTCCATATGTAGTTTTTACTTATTACACATATTCGAAACAAAAATCACAAATCACTGGTCAGAGGGGTGCCTAGTGGCGTAGCCGTCGGAAGCATTTTCAAGTGGTCCGGCCATTATAGTGAGAGCGGGGGTTGGGAGTTGGGGTGGTATTTAGCAAATCTTATAGTAACTGAAAAGTGGAGACCCGCTACATTTATCCACAGACACAAGATTTTAAAGTTAGTGAGGTCTGAGAGCATCCACTTCAGCCCCACCTTTGTTGGTGAACAACCTTCTTGGCACCTCTGATTGCCCGTATATAGATGCTGGCAATTCTAGAGCCGCTATACATCTCCCTCAAGGGGGAAGCCAAATACAACGTTAGCACGGAAGTAAAGTTTTTGTTGGAAATATGGCACCTCCGCCCAGAAATAGCAGCTGGCAATCCCGTAGAAAATGATAAATTGTTAAATATTTAATTTTTTATCATCGTCATAACTAGATGAATTAAGTTGCTTAAAACCTCCATGAATAAATAAAATGCAAGAACCACGAATATATATAATGAAATGGATCAATTACTATAACATACTGTAATTATATTTACACGATGTGGAGGTTACTCAGATGTGAAATACTGTATTAACAATATACAATTAAATAAAACACAGGATACCGTACAATATGATATGGAAATGGGCCTCCTATGCCTACACGTTAATAGTGCCGTAGAGTTTCGAATAACATACTGCTGGCACATTTTAATTACAAATTCTTGCAAAATTCAGCCAGAAACATTAAAAAATATTTATCACGCTCTAGATGAGCTGTTGCAAGTAATCAGGGCCGGCTTAACCAATATTCTTTGTGTTGTGATGAAAATTTGACCAACTCTAACCCCAACATTTTATAAATATTTAATTGTAATTTTATATTTATACCTCTAAACATTTTCAAAATCAATCTTATTTTTTTTACTACAAATTAAGGACTGTCAAAAAAGTTTAGTTGTACATCGGCAATACAAAAAAAAAAAAAAGAAAAAAAGACAAGCGCATGGTGGATTTAAAAAAAAATATACAACATTAAAAAGACAATATGTTGCAAACAATTATATGATTTATAAGTATTTGTATATAATTATTTTAAAAAGTAATAAAAGTGAGAAAAAGTGGTCCGGCTATAGCCGGTGCGGTTCCGACGTTACAACAATAAATCCCGAAGTGTCGAACTTCAGGCAGTTCCACAATGTTCTCATGGGGAATAGTGTACTTGGTCAATCGCTTTTTCCAGAAAGGGGTTGGGGGTGTTAAAATCTTTATTCACATCAACACTCGTGTGTAACAAAGAATCTAACACAATTAACAAATAAATAGAGGTAATATATATATATATATATTGTTTCCAATCATGCTTGCATGAAATTCTCACTTTATAACATCTAGCTTTTTCTACCCTCACTCACTCACCACTGAGGAAGGACTAGTGTTGTCCGAAAGCTCTGGTTCTATTTCTGGCTGTTTACTTACGTTTACTTTTTAGCTGTTGCTTATCATTTTTGTATCTCTACTGAGATTCAGCAATTGTGTTTCGCACAGCATTTAATGTAGTCCTATTATTTTTCAATTTCCCTCTAAATAGAGAAATATAAAGACCACATTTAGTGCCCATAGTCCCAGGTCTCCTGTGGAGTCCCGGAATGGGGTCTCCTGGAAATTGGAATGAAGAACGCATTCTGGTCCGCAAGCAAGCACAAATCTTCCGAAATAAATCATCTCCCGCAAATTTATGATGATATTTGCATGCTTTTACAAGTTTTATACTGTATTATCAATTTTCTCCCAGCAGTTACTGTCAATCATAATGATTATTACCATGCACAGCAAAATATATTTAAATGTCATAAGAAAACTCATTTAAACAGATCTCTCGGATGTCGATTTTTCCAAATGGGGACCCCTTTTGGGTGCCGGCTTTTCATTATAGGGATTCTATTAGACACAAGAGGACACCATGGGCTGAGCATAGAGAAAATAGAACAGAGCCCAACACAAGATGTGGGTATCCTCTAAACCCCTGGTCAATAGGGCCTAAATATACAAATAAATAACAAAACAGCACAGAGGCAGAGACGAAACTTAAAAGATTAAAATAGCCTATAAAAAGATTGATAAAATATAATAAGTGAAATATAAAAGATGAAATGGACTTACAAGATTTTATTCTACAAACCGCAACCACTGCCGCAACCGTTAGACACTTTCTTTTTTATAAGAACCAGTAACATTCTGTCCAGGCTCAATGTTCTTATTTTTTAAGTGTAGTGGTTACCGGCAACGTCCCTACTCCCCTGTTTATGAATCCGTGTTGAATTGTATTCATCTTGTTTTTATAGGGATTTCTTTTGCACTAAATTTAATTTTAATCAATGATGATGACGATGATTATGATATGATGGTGATGAGGCCTATGAGGACGAGGACGAAAAGGAGGAGGAGGACGACGATTTGAAGATGATGGTAGGAAGGATAATTTTTTCGAGTGATTGTCCTGTCCGATTGATTTCCTAATACAGGTACATTAGATGCTAGAAACGTATGCCTAGGCAATTGTAAAAAAAAAATATCATAAGATCTCATATTCAGTGGCATTGGCATTGAGTTTGTTCCACGTGTGCGCTTGTTGTTTCGAATTCCCATAAGGCCCATACATAGTTGTGCTGATTTGCGTTTGTTTTCTTTATTGCGTACCGTTTCTCGGACGTCGTGTCGCATTAAATGTTTTACAATTAACGTTTTTAAAACAGCGTGCCACTTATTAATGAGGCGGTGCCTTCAAAGTAAAAACAATAAACAGAAATGTAGGCCTATACAGTATGTCGACATCCCTGGTTCCTAAAACCATGGACTTACTAATACTTACTAAGTACCCGTGGTCCAACTTTGGCCCACTGAGTAATTTAATCAAGCCCGAGAAAAATAAAATAGTAAGACATACTTAAAACAAATTAATATACCTAATCATTGATGAATACTGTAGTATTTCAATAAAGGGAAGACCAAAATACATTCCTGAGTTATGTGCAATATTTTTTTTCTGTAGCCAGTTCGGGGATACAGGTGGTGAGCTCGTTACATAGACCTTATAATGGCAAAAGATTGATCGTTGAGCTTTCTGTGGTCCTATCATATGCTTAAAACAAAATAATGGACAAAGTGGTGGGCCATTCCAATGGTGTTTTGCGTCAGGAAATTAGTAATAGGAATGATGGGCCATTATTAAGTATGATTTGCAAAAATAATCCACAATTGCTATATCACTACCTATCATCAATATTTTTCCGTTCAAGGTCTCCCATCATGATTTGTTCCTGAGTCTTATGTAAGTGAACTTTTCTGGTTTAGTTCATAAAAAAAAATCTTGGCAAAACCTAAAACCATGTTAGTTCTATGGGAATTATATGCAGCTGCACTCAATGGTGATTACTCAACGTTATGTGGCAATACAAAATTTACAAAATATATTTCCGTTTCTATTCTCACGCAGATTGTTGGTAAAATGTTAGTACCAGACCAGGACTATTTAATATGACGATGAAAGGATACAGAGGAAGTTGAACTTCGCACCGACGATATGGCCGAGGACAAGAACTCATCAAATTTTAGGGTGACTGGGGACCAAAGTCATCGGACAGAAAACAAATCTACAGCGGCATTAAATAAATCGTGATGAGTGGGCCTAATTGACTTTAATATTAAAACTTCATGTTGGTATTTTCAGTACTGTATAGGCTTTCTTTATAAACTTTAATTCATTCATTATTCTTTACACCATTTATGTCTACCATGTAAAAAATACACGTCTTTAACACCAAAGGTGATTAGTATACAAGATGCCTTTAAAAATCATGTAAAAAAATGTAAAGAAAGTCGCCTGTGGTATTGAATAACAAAAAGCAGTAGTAAGGGCAAATAGAAAAAATTATTAGATTATCACTCCCGCCCGCGTCAAAAATTCGGTGTAAATATTGATGCGGGAATAAAAAAAAATCTTTTTTGCCGCATCAATTGTTTCAACAGCATAAAAATAACAATGCAATTTTGTGACTTCAAATACATTTTCTTTTAAAAAACTTTTTAAATGTCTTTTACCTTATCATAAATTGTATATTTTTTATATTTCTCGATTGTTTTGATTGTATTTTTACCTTGCTGTTGTGTTTGAAATAAAAAATAAAAGGATGAATGAGTGAATGAATAAAATTAAACCATTTTTATACAATATTTACTATTACTAACCAAATATAAACAGTCCCTCCCTCATCGAAAAAACAGAAGCGAAATAATCTATTGTTACGATTAAAAAAAACCGCCCTCCCTCATCGATCTTAATAATTTTTTCTGTGTGCCATCGTACATAGTAGCTGCAACAATCGGTACAGATAAAAGTCCTTGCATTAAACAATTCAATAGTGTCGATCAAAACCATCTTATCTGACTCCAAAAATTAAAATATTTCAACACAAATTGGCAATTATTGCCCACTTACATTCTGAAGATACTTGCGTGTAGATCGACAATGACTCAGGAGTGTTCCAGTCTAGACTTTTTACGCTCTGCTGACGCTACACGAATAATATCATTAATGTCAGAATGGTGCTATATATATATGGAATGGTTGATTATTATTAAAAAGGGTATTTCTTTATTATTATGAACTAAGACACACAATATATCTCTTCAGATCAGTTTATTACAAAATCTTTCATAATTCGAATACTGTATATAGATGACAATAAACATGATACTAATATTATTAATAATATTAAAGTAATTATAATTATAGAGACAATTAACCTACTGTTTTAATTTACTCATTATAACTTAAAATTATACATATTTATATCTAAATTCAGCATCCCAATATAAATTCCTTTCATATATAAGTATAGTTTTCTCTATGGTTTGATCAAACAATGGTTTACTTTTTAAAGCCAGCATAGAATAAACTTACACAGCTATTAAAAAAAGACCTAATGTACCATTATTTTATGCTACATTTTGCTATTTATTTCAAATTCTCATTTTGAACCATCCCATTTCCTGTCAATCTGGCCTTCATCAATACCTACAAAATAATTTAACCCCCAATTTGTCTTACACCTGAATTAGAAGATTACACAATGTGCATTATATAATAATGTAATAATTATAATTCCAATGCGCAGATTTCATATAGTATGTTCAAGTGTATGATGCATTATTACCACTGGTCATTCCTTAAAAACACTAGGTTTTGTTGCACCAATCAAATCAGGTACCAATTTCATTCTTGGGTGGAGAAAAGAATGCAAATAAAGTGAAACAAAATTCCTTTCTTAACTATTTAGATGTTGTTTTTGCATCAGGAAATTCCATAGGAGTGATGTTTATCTCTACCTGAAATGTTGCTGTACTGAATACCCGGTACTCACAACCTCCAAATAACTAGCCTGGTGCCATAACCTCTAGACCACTGAGCTTGCACATTCATAACAATAACAGTGAGTATACAATGATAAAACTATATCCAAAGGAGCTTTGATAAACATAAATGTCTACAAAGTGGCTTTTAAAATCATAAGGTTTGAATGTGTATCCACAGGACATACAATATTAACTATTAATAACACAAACAAATAAATAAAACAAATACTGCAAAAGCAATTATCATAAAGAATTTTCAATTTGTAATCGGACTCGTCGTCTTGTTTCTGCATCCAGCATCTGCCTTCGAAAGTAAACGACTGAACACGATACTATACCAAGCCCTATCATTGTGCCCTCAAACGCCCAGAAATGTTTCTCTATGGGCCAGCCACTGGCCTCACAACTGAAGAATAAAAAAACAAAGGTTTAGTCTGAATTGAAAGTTATTGTATAATATAAGTACTGTAATAGCAATAATAACATAATTGTTTATTGTTATTAATAATAACAATAATACAAAGCAAATTAATAATAATAATAATAATAATAATATTAATATCTATTTCGTTTTGAGTTTGCATCAGGAAAATATCATAGGAGTGATGTGTTGCCCTACCTGACGTGTTATCATACTGAATACTCAGTACGTTTCCCAACTTCAGAAAAAAAATTTGTAAGTGATTTGGGTGGGAATCGAACCTACAACCTCCAGATAACTAGCCTGGTACCATAACCACTAGACTACCAAGCTTGCGCTTAGTGATTAGTGTAGAATAAGATACCCAATTAGCAGTGGGTACTGAAAATGCTATTTTGATTTGAGTTTGTGTCAGGAAAATATCATAAGAGTGATGTTTTGCCTACATTACATGTGTTCTGACGGGCGTGAGTTCGATTCCCACACAAATCACTTATCGCTATTTGGGAACGTACTGAGTATTCAGTACAATAACACATCAATTAGAGCAGAACATCACTCCTATAATAATATTATCAATAGTAATGTGGGGTAATTCCTGTTGAAGATGCTCAAGCCCACTGCTTTGTGAGCATAAGTTCTAGAACCTTCTAGTACAGGTTAAAAATGACCCAACATTGACTTCACATTTGGCTGGCATTATACTATACTGTAGAACAAACTGGTAGATTTAAATTTTGAATTTACTGGCAACATATTTACATACCTTTTATATGTATTAATATTTGATTCTTTGCACTTCAGTAACAACTTATAACCAGTTACTTTACAATACTGGAAGACATTCTGAAATGGATTGAAGATAAATAGCTTGGTAAATGAAATATAAGTAACTTGCAAATTTATACTTTTTGTACAAATGTCTTAGTTTAAATGTAATCTTGTATCTATGTTTCATTTTAATGTACCTGTTCGTAATCTTCGTTATAAACCTTTTCTTCATGTTAAATATTCTTGTGTAAATGTTTGTAAAAATGGTATTTTCCGTAGAATTTCGTCAGCTTATAACGCTTGTCTTTTAAAGAATAATTTTTTTGATATTTTTAACTGTAATTACTCGCAATTTAAAAGTATTATTAATGAACTCGTTTTTTAATTTGTATTGTATATATTTATGCTCTGTTTACTGAAAATTTTATTTCAACCTATCATTGGTGTTTTACACTGTTGGTTGAGAATAAAGAATAAAAAATAAAGAATAACAATGAGACCAACTAACATATGAATTTATTAAAATCCATCAAACACAAAGTGATCAAATTAATAGCAATATTACTATAGTAATTAAACTATTACAGGAAATTATTAAAATCAATATTGCTTGATATTTGATTTATATGGGGACCTGATCATAATTGTGTATTTGTTTACAGGTTATTTTCACTGGCTTTGCACAAAATATTTTAAAACATACTAGGATTACACTTTGCGGTATTAAATAGTATTGTTGACATTTAACATTTCATTCTGCAGAAGCAGTGTAATTATAGTGATTAAGTTATATTGTAGAACTGTTTTGATCGTTAATAGACCGAACACAATGGATGTTAACTTACAGAGAGCTTTCGTTGATGTCATCAACATGACTTTGTCAAGCTATGTGAGGTAGCATCTGTTGTTTTTGGCATTGTGTAAACAATGCCTTCTGGTGCCAGCTCTATTCATTGTGTTTAGTTTATTACCAATCAAAACAGTTTTACAATAATATTAAGGAAACTAGATAAAACTATTCGAATGATTAAGTTATAATTAAGTAGATGAGAAATAAAGCAAAATCACATATTATGGTAAGTTGAGTTGTACTTACCGTTTCATAATATTCACACCTTTCACACACTCCCATCACTTTATAGTCTTCTCGTTGCCAGCAAGGCAAACTACTCTCGTCTGTATGCATACTTTCACGCTTGCTATCAGATTTCTCATCTAGCCCAAGGTTTCCTGAGGGAATGACACCTGCATTACATCTATAAACAAAAATATATATTTAAAGATTGGTCATAAACATAAGCAAACAACCAGTTAGTCATGATACTGTACACACAGAGTACATTATTTTCCTGAGTAGAGAAATCTATTTGAAACAAAGTATTCTTAATTTCAACAGTTCTTTTCAGAACTACATACGTGGTGTACGCCAAATATGAAAATTAATTGTTGCATTCCCTAATTATAATAAATTATTAAAAACATAAATACTAGCATTAGATTCACTTACAACTAGGTTTTACAAGGTATTAACAACTTGTTTACTTACCTTATAAAGTTGAAAATGAAGACAAGGAAAATATTACAAAGTATAGAATTATTAAATGTGTTTAAATCCATCCTAATGCGGCTAGTATTAGTACAAATTCAATGTGCTGGACACAAGCTGAAACAGAACAGAATCAGAAAAAAAGTAGTAAAATATACACGTCTATTAATTATTATACGAGTATTTTTTGTCATGGATACCTTACAATATAAATAGCAATATCTAATGAATAAATCAAAGAAAAAGCTTCACTTTTGGGTCAATCCTTGTTAATAATTTGAAATCTAAGAACAAAAAAACAAAAAAAACAAAAACCAAACAAACAAAAAAACGCATGGTGTATGTAGAATACGAAAGATAGGCATCACAGACCTTACAACGTAAGTTTCATACAAATAGTACTGTATACATGAAATGTTTCAATCTTTTTCTGATATAACACACATTAGACTTCCCTTTGAAAAATCATATCAATAGATTGTTGGTCCTGCTTGCTTTGAATATATACTTTTCCATTTAATTAACGTGTTGCATTTTATGTTTTACTTAGGAAATAAGGAATTTTTTGTTTTTGTTTTTATTCATGCAGCCCTTTACAAGCTTTTGATTTTTGGGTTTTTGCCTCTCTTCTGAAATTAATATTTACCTTTTTAATTTAAAGCTGTACATATATGAAAAAAGAGAAAAAATGTTACGCTGATTTGAATTGAATTAAAAAGGCCTAGAAACACACCACACACAAATAAAATAAAGAAAAACTATACTCATTAATCTTTTAAAGATATTGTAATACATACTGTCAAATGCCACTATACTATTACTGGTTCTGTGTTTCGGGTCTGTACATTGTGGGCTTGGGCTATTATTATAGTCTAGGCCTAGCTAGGCTACAGGCACAACAGTGTCAGTAGCATCTACAGATCCACTCCACTCTCTTCGTGGCGGTGCAGGCCTAGATAGGCTAAACAAAAGGTAGGCCTAGGCCTATCCCCTATTTTCTTCTGACGGAAATTGGAAAACTTACCACCAGCAAAAATATTAAAATACGATAACTCAGTAAATATGATATCGCGTTCTCTATTTGAAATAAGATAATTATATGTAAATAGCACAGAATCTACGTAAAATAAGGCATCTTATTGAACATACAACGCCATTGATTATACAGTATTCAATATTGTTTGTATAGTACCAAAGAGTATCTTTGTAGTACACGGCGAAAACTCCACGTCTTGTGTTTTGGGAGCAATTTTGTAACCTTTGACAATCAACCTACGTACTTTTGGATATCCTATTATTTTGGAAGGGCATATATAACTTTATCATAAACAATATTTTTATATAATACAACATTTCAATCATATATATAATATATAATATAAATATATGTATATAATAGAATTATAAATAGTAATAATTTTTTGCATATATAGGCCTATATTTAAAAATTTATTTAAAAAGTAATAAAATGGGTAGGCATTCCCTATAATTTTATGGTTTCTCCCAAGGGTTTCCCTGATTTTAGATCGCCAAAACAATAGGAAGTGAGACTGTAGACATCCGGTTGATGTTGTTGATAGTCTTCTTTTACTGTCTAAACACCTAGAAGGTAGCGATTTAATTTGAATCTTTAAATTTGTTTTCGTGTTGTGTAGTATATGCTATGATATTTCGCTGTTTTTCTGTGTGAACAATTCAGTCTATTGGTTAACACTGGCCTATTTTTTCTCAGAGAGACTTGCAGTTTATTTCATGTTGATGATGATAGACTACAGGCATGTGCTATAGCAAAGAGAGTAGAGTAGTCTAGTAGGCTATTAACCAAATACTGCATGGGCATTTGATGAGTGTAGAATAGGCTATTATTTGGAGATTTGTTTATATGTACCTAGAGTTCTAGTTAATTATTGATCAGTCAAGTCAAGTGCTAACTATGTTTTATATCAATTTAAAATCTATGCCTTTAAATCTAACTACTTTTCTTGTGAACTAGAAAGTACCAGAGTTTCCGAGTCTCCATCTTTTAGAGACCATGGATCAAGTCACTGAAGCAGCTGAAGTTACAGAGTTGACAGATAGAATAGAGGATGTTGATGCAGCTGAAAAGGACCATGAGGCTGATGTGAAGAGGAAAGCAAAACCAGATGAGGAGGAAGATGTTGATTACACAGCTGTAGGAGACCATGAGGATGATGTGGACAAAAAAACTAAACCAAATGTAGAGGATGGCGTAGTTGAAGCTGATCTGACAAAGACAGATGAGGTTGTTGATGATGAATGGATTGACATCATCGGCAGTGGTGATCTAAAGAAGAAGATTGTGAAAGAAGGTCAAGGCATCGATACCAGGCCAGAGAGGGGGCAGCTGGTGACTTTGCGAACTGAAGGTCACTTGGATGATGGGAAATCTGTTGATACAAATGAAAATGTTACATTTTCACTTGGTGATGGAGATATGCTACAAGGTGAATGATAAATTAACTTTAGTGCTTAATGAAGTTGTACATTTCTAGTCGTTGCATTCTCTAATTTTGCTTTTCTGCCTGTTTCTTTTGTGTAGCATGGGAATTGTGTCTCCCCCTTATGGAACAAGGAGAGGTGTGTACCTTGACAACAAGTCCAAGATTTGCATATGGAGAAATAGGAAGGTATAGCAAACAGTAAAAAGTACTCTTTCTCAAATAATATTGTACATTGTTATGTTTTTTTCGTATTTTATTTAAAAATTTTTTTATTCCAGTTGGATGATGTATAAACATGCAAACACACCTTTGAAAAACACCTCCTCTCAATTTTATAAAACAAGATGTGTTTAGAGGTATGATACCGTATGCGATCTCGGTTTACTTTTATTGTTGCATTATTTACTCATGTTACAAGCTTTGCCACTGCTTCTTTTGATTTGTTTATTTTTGTTCATTTTACTGTGCTTGGGTTAGGCAATGATCACAGCTGCTTGTGAGGTGCCTAAATATGTGGTGCAGTGCTTCGTATCTGCAAAGAAAGGCGCTTTACAAATGTTCTGATTGGATGGATTGGATTTAAAATAAAGACAGCAACTCACCATTACCGAGATATTGTATGGTACCGTATTCCTAGATACTGCCATATTAATAATAAAAATTAAACAATTCTGCATGAAGGACAATCAAAATTAAATTCAATTAACATTTTATAAAGGATAAAATGTATAGACTTATTATACCCTAAAATCCATTACAATGAAGTGAAATCATCATTAAAATGTGATTACAGGCCATATCAATTACTTTTAACGAAGCTATACCGGCTGACTGTATTCTTGCACTAATATGCTTTTACAACTAAATGAGATGCTATATGACTAGAAACATGTCAAAGATCACAGATTATCTTCATATATTTGAGCCAAAAATATATTTTTAACATTTGTTTATGGTCAAAACATTTCCTTTTTTCAAATCAGAAAACCAGATGTTCCACCAAATGCCAATATCACATATGAATTAGAATTATTAACTGTCAAGGATGGACACAATTTTGAAACAATGCCATTGGACATGCGTTGTAAAATGGCGTAAGTATGCATGCTTTTATAGTGTAGTATCAGACTCGTGGAATGTTCAGTAGTATACTGGGTTAAGGGGCATAGTTCAAATTACAGTGTAGCCTGAGGTGATCTGGAGGCTGTACTGTGTCATGAGGTAAAGTCAAGGGACATAGTGCAACCATGGAGGTAATGACCTGATTAAAATTCCAGTAAATATTTGTTTTATATACCACTACAACAAGGCTTAGCATAATAGGCTTAGCATAATTATAAACACAATAAGCTTAGCATAATTATCTACATCGCTATGTACAAGAGGGCAAAACAAAAGGACTATTGACCGGCTACAAGGGCATGACTGGAACTATTGCCCGGCTTTTAACCAATCAAGTGCCTGGAATCTATGTAGTTGGTATATGATAAATACTATTGCACTCTAACATTTGAATGAGAAATAATATTTTTGTATAATCCAATACTCATGTTTACTTGATTTTTAGAGATGATAAACGAGAAAGAGGTAATGAACTGTTTACTAGGAATGATTATTCTGGTGCAATTAACTCCTACACTCGGTAAGTGAAAGTGACTCCCTAACTTCCCATAAATTACTCTGTGGGGAGAACTCCTTGATATTGCAAGATTGTCCTTTGTTTTTAGAAGTATTGTCATACCACCATTTCAACCTGTTTTGCAAAATACATTATATGATAATACAGTATAGTGTAATTATTATTTTTTTTTTATTCATAGTGCTATTGAAATTCTGAATGCTAATGAGGTAAGCTAAATTGAATCTGAAGAATTGTAATTCTTTCATTCTTCTTCATCATCATCATCATCATCATTGTCATCATCATTGTTATCCTCATCATCATCATCATCATCGTCTTCATCATCATCATTATCATCATCATTGTATTAATTGTCATCATCTTCATCATCTGTCTGTTTTACTCCGTTGGAGTGTTGGACAGTATTTTAAAATCCAAATCATCGTCATCACCGTCATTATCATCATCATCATCATCATCATCATCAACTGTCTGTTTTACTCCGTTGGAGTGTTGAACAGTATCATTAAATCCATATTCAGATCATCATCAACATCATAGTCCTCATAAACCTTAGTCTTTGAGATAGAGACACATCAATAGTGTGCAGTGTTTGGTGATGATTGCTTTTAATTCCAGGGTCCTGGATTCAAATCCTGCAATTTACTTACAGTATTATAAACTTGACTATAAACAACTGCACTCCCTATTTTATAACTTTATTCAAAAATTGAAATGACTCTCAATTTCTGGTTTAAGTCATATATCATGATAAAATAAAATTAAACATTTGTTTCTTATAATTAACATAAATAACTATTATTCTTTTGTCAAATATAACATTAAAATGAGACTAACCTTTTTTTACTTAAATGTTAAGGAATGTTTTTAATCATTCTAAATGATTTGAAGCAATGTCTCCCTGAATGCCTCTTAAACTATTAAGTTCAGCTGTGATGCCACGATCAGACAAATCGTAAATTATTTTTTTTAAAAGGTTATTTTATGCCTCATGACTTAGTTAAAGGGGCATCAGTTCCATCCAGTGACAAGTCACTCACTGTTGGATGAATAAGAACTAGAAAAAAAGTATATGTTCCAACTTTTTAGTAATCTTTTTTCTTAACTGTAATTGTGTATTTTATATCCTGACATTATAATACATTTTCCAGTCAGCAGATAAAGAAGGATTTAAAAAGCTGCAGCAATCAAAAGTAAAATGCTACAACAACTTAGCAGCAGCTCAAATCAAGGTAACAATGGGTTTTTTTTTTTGTTCCAAATGGAAATTTGAATTTGGTGCTTGTATGGGTTAGTTCAGGTTTACCAATTTTCACAAATGAATTCAAAAATATTTAAAAAAAAAAGATTAATAGTTAGACATGAAAAAATATTTACATCAGTACCTATTTTTCCTTATTCAATATCTTTGAATCTTTTTCTACCAATCATGTCTCTTTTTTAGGTTCAAGCATATAGTGCAGCTAGGAAGTCATGTGACTGGGTGCTGAGCAATGAAAAAGACAATGCAAAGGCATTGTTTCGTAAGGGAAAGGTAAATATAAATGTACGGATTAATACCAACAAATGGTGGAAATGGTGTGCACAGCAATGTGGCTCCGACTTGCAACTTTGAGGGTGAGGCAGGGGCGGATCACATTTAGACTTTTTTTCATAAAAACGCCCAAAAAAGGGGATCCTCCCCCGGGAAAATGTTGATTCTTAGATGGGGGGAAATGAGCTTTCCAGACTTCAGGTGTCTCATTTAATGACTTTTAAGTTCTTTAAATTTTAAGGTTTTCCTCCGCTTCCGCTTGAAAACGGACAGGTAAACTTCTCGTTCTTATTACTGTAAATACTAGTAACCAAACTATGTGTGTATGTACAGTACGTAACGAAAATTGAGTCGCTGCATACATATTCTTTTTTCAATAAATCGATAAACCCCAAATAAAACGGGGGTCAGGGGTCCTCCCCGGGAAAATTTTGGTTCTTAGATGGCGAGAAATGAGTTTTCCTGACTTCTAAGTGTCTTTTAACCAAAATTCAAGGTTTTTCCCTTTTGTAAACGGTCAGGTAATTTTTTCTCATTCTTATTACAGTAAATAGGCATATTTGTGTACCGGCATACAGAGAATTTTTTCCCCAAGGGGGTCAGGACCCCCTGACCCCCCTCAGATTCGCCAATGTGAAGGTTCAATATCCTTGCTCTTAAGTTAACTATGTGTAACCAGAGATCTGTTGGTCCTAGTTAAATTTCAGTCACTGGTCTTGTGTATTTCAGCTTTACGGCTAAAATACAAGTTACAAGATGAAGCTTCATGTTTGACGTTACATTTTAATCAATAGGCTTTAAGCAAAGTATATAACAGAATAATACATTTTTCAGGTTCTTGCATCGCAAGGAGAATTAACAGAAGCACTGGAAATAACAAAGAAAGCATTGAAACTGGAACCATCAAATAAGGCAAGTATATTAACAAAAAGGGATATAAACTGCCAAATAAGGCAATTCATTGCTAGATAATTCACCACGTAAAAAAAAATTAGGACCCTGTTTTACTATAATCTTAATTGTAAAATTATTAAGCATTTTAAGTAGATTAATAATTATACTACTGACTGTTGATGATTATCTTAGTGGTTGAATATAAATTAATTTTACAGTGTTAATTATCTTTGTAGGTAATACATCAAGAGCTATCAAGATTATTAGCAAAGCAGTCTGAAGAAAAGGAAAAAGAAAAGGATTTGTACAAGAAAATGGTTGGAGACATGGCCAACATGGCAGAGTCTACACCAGCTAGGACCAAGGTACAGTATATAGTCAGTTCTGACTCATAAGATATATTTTGGGATAACAGAAAGGAGAGCTGCTGCTCTCTACATGATGATGTCCCGTGGACCACGCTAACTTCTGCAATTTTTCGCTCTTTATTTTCATTTCACATGACAAAACGTACATAAAAACAGGGCTCCCAAGTCTCCCAGATTGACCTGGAGTCTCCAGGAATGTTGATTCATTTCCCGTCTCCCGGAAATTCCACACTTTCTCCCGGAATTTGAATTTCTCTTGTTTTCTCCAGGATTTTAACAGATTTTCACAATTAGGGCTTATGCTAAGCTGGATTTTCCTATTCTTACGCATTGGATCTGGCAGACATAAGATTTATTGTACATTATAGGTAGCAATATGGTATCAACAATAACGTAAACCTGCCCAAGCCTGTTTGTTTAGCACATTTAGAGAATGTTTAGCACATTTTTTTTTCTAATAATGACCTATTAATATTTAATTGATTTCTTTCTCAATTTTGTTTCCCAGATGAAAAACAAATATGGAATGTTTGCACTCTTTGCTGGTTTACTAGCAGTAGTTGCTGCTGTTCTGTTGCAATCATCTAAATAGCCCCCTCTAATTCATACTGTATTGATGATGTGGAGGAAACATATGCAAACCTGAGTTGAAAGAAATGTAGAGTAAAACAAATGTATTTTGTCACTACCTTTGTCTAATTGGTGCAATAACAGTGTGCTTTTAATTAATTTGTGTTTATCAATCATTTCATAAATCTAGTGTTAAATTTTCATGAAACATACGGTATGTGAAAACTTTGATATTGGGTAATACTGTATATTAAGACATCCTTGCAAAAAAGCATAAAAAAGGGTATAAATTGAGTACTGGTATTTGTTTTATTATTTCTATATTCAAGGTTCTACATTTTCTGCCAGGGCTACATGCCTCCAAACATTCCAGACAAAATTCAATGTTAATGATGTGTTTATAAGATGTTCTTGTAGCAAGTTCAATCAACCCCTTTTTTCCATGTGGCCCCTACATGCACCACCCCATTCCTAACTATTTCTGGACATGAAAATTAAGCATTAAGGTTTTAAGCAAAATCTCTGAATATTATTATCTTGAAGAAGTATAGTCAGTATTTGTGTTTTGATTATGTGAAGCACTGAATTCTGCACTAAAAACAAAGTGATAATAAATTATCTATAGAAATATAATCTGTTGCTTGAGTTACCTTTGTTCTTTGAATGCAATTATCATGTTTGTGTGCATCGTGTAATTTGTATTGGTTAGTTTAATAATATATGAGCACATAATACTATGGTCTCACAATATCAATAATAATATTCTACTACTATCAAATATTTTTTTATAAACAGTTTTTCAATGAATCAGGAAATAAATCTCAGAATAATCCAAGTTGAAAAGAGAGAATAGAATCAACTTATTTGTAATTTAACATTTGATTACAAGAGATTCTGATCCTCTGCTTTTATAAGTCAATTACTGGCGAGTTTTGCAAGGGACCACATTGATGTCAAAGCTTGCTTTTTAAAATTTCATATATTCCCAAAGAGGTCTATCTAATGCATACATGCTACAGTAGTCCTATGTGATAGTTTGAGTGAACTCATTTTAATCCTAATATGACTGCTGAAAATGTAACCATCCTGGTGTGTTCACCGTGGAAGACAGCTGCACGTACGATGCATGCGCCGATAGCAATAGATGGATAGAATTGTAACTTTTCCATCCATTGCCAAGCTTAAGTGCATTATTCATGTAAAATTGTAGCCTTCGCCAAACAATGATTTCTCTCGATTGGATTGGAGGCTAATTGACTGCATGCTGAATCTACTTCACACTTAAATTACCTCCATAGACTCAAAGATACTGTATGGATATTAGTGCAAGGACAAAACTAAGGGCGCTCATATCATCAACCCCAAGGTTCTAATCATACAGAGTTTATTCAACCTTTTATACCACTTCAACAGTCATAACCTTATTGTTGAAGATTCTACCATCTTATATTAATATTCTCATTAAATTCCAGTTGTTAACTTGTGGTGGGGCCAGTGCATTAAGCCCCTCCTAGGATGGGACAATTTCTTTTAAACAATTTTTGGGCACAATACATGCTAAAGAAATTTTAGAACAACTAAAAATTCCCTGCTCTACAAGGCGATAGGGGCCAGCCTGTGGGTCCGACAAGATCCCACTGGTTTCCATCCGAAATTTTTGTAATCAGTCGTCAAATGCATTATTTAGTAGCTATTTACCGAGATGAATCTCCCTCACTTTGCAAATTATCATTTTACCTCCCTCACCTTGAAATTGTCATTTTACCTCCCTCACCTTGCAAACTATCATTTTACCTCCCTCACTTTGCAAAATGTCATTTTAACAAAGAATGCCATTTTATGTCGGCTCTTAATGAGATGCAGAATAAAGCAATTATTTAAAAGTTGTAGACACAAGTTGACAACAATGACGGATGAGAATTAACCAATTTGAACAGCATAATGAATACGCTCAATTATTTGATTGTATAATGAGTTCAAACTAACAATTTGTCTTCTACGAATCGTCATGTAATAAATTACAATAATAATCCAATTATGCCACCCAATGAATCTGTATGTGGGTTGATTAGACATGAAATCAGCAGATTACTTCACTTGGAAATCTTATTGCTTATTGTTCTAACGTTAATTAATGACTGAATTTTATTAATGATCAATGTAACAAATGAAATGGTGAAGTTATGCAGGTCACCATACTGGATGCTGAAAATCAAGGGAATTTTATATCAGAATTGTAGATGAAAGACCAATAAAGCCGGACAAATATCACTGACGCACGGTTAGATGTTTAAAGCTGTTCTTTCCATGATGCAATTATGTAACACAAGCTAGCTTTGTATGGAAACGAAAAAACACCAGATACAGTACTACTACTACATTCTTAATTCAGGCTTTGAATTCCTAGAGTAAGACTTCAAGATCTATCATAGCCAACCAAAGTTTGAATAGCACAGGATGTTGGTATTTCAACTCATCCACATCATGGCATGAATAAGTCAATTTATCCAGGTTGTATTTTCAAAAATAAGGTCAAAGATTATTTTTTTAAGTTTTAGTGTAAAAAAAGTGTTATTAACATATTGATAATGTCCTTATATGACATAAGTTGTCTGTATGTCATGCATATGATAGATGGAATTGCTCTATGGGGAGAGGGTCTTTGCATTAACATAATATATCAGAGCACAGAAGGCTGTGCAATAAATATGCACTTTATGGTTTGATCTCTAATGTATAGTTCTGCAGCACCATCACCCTCAATTAAACAAATTCACACACAATAGCATTAACAGAAATTCAAAAAAACAGGGCTGGACCGTCATTTTGCTTAGAAATAAAAACTGATAATTTTTAATCAAAATAGGGAAACATAGCTAAAGGAAATAGGAGAACATTCACCAGTTGTGAAAATGGAGAATATATCTATACTTTAAGTTCGGAAAATATTTCAGTAGGTTTGCTGGAAATCCATGTAAACAGCAGAGGCAGATCCAGAGATATCCGAAAGTGGGGCAGATTGAGATAAAACTACCCTAGGGGGTCCGGAATTTTTGTTTTCTAGACGCTCAAAAATAACCTCAGAGGCATTTTGGCCGATCAATTTTTTCTTTTTCTTTCTTTCTTTTTGTTAGAAAAGGTTATTTCATGCTCGACGTGCACACATAAGATAAAAAAGATTTATGAACAAAAAAGTGAAAATTAATAAGCAACAGGAATGCCCTGGGGTCCAAAATTGTACATTAAATTATAGATGAAAACATTAAAATTTAACATTAAAAAATAAATTATATGATTGGTAATACTTTATAATGTAATGTAGTATTGTATTTCAAAGTCCTGTTGACATCTGATCATGTGACCAGATATTCGTTAAGTATATTAATTATTGATATTAATTTGAGGTTTATTAGACTGGTAAATGTAATGTTTTCGGAATAGAAATTTACAACCACATAATAGCTTCTAAGTCAAAGGTTTGAATATAAAGTAATTGTGCCTAAACTAACACATTTGAGGTACAGTAACAGATAGTAAAGCCATTATCAATAAACATTTATTAATAATAATAATAATACTGTTCATAATAAAAACAATAATAATAATAGTAATAATAATAATGACATTAAAAAGAACAAGTCAATTAAACTGTGATGCTCATTAATAAATCAAAAGTTACATCAACTCTGATTACAATCTACAATATAGATACAAAAAATGCAATTTACATATTATTATCATACAGAAAAGACTGTATGTAGAATATTTGCCAAAAATTAATTGCAATACATTTGACAATTGTGTATATGGTCATGTGACGTTACAATAGTAGTATCACATGATTAAGACTTCATTTTGTTGTTTCATTATTATTAAAGGAGACATTACAGTTGTAGTTTGACATGTATTACAACATCATGTTATCCTTGCTAAGGCAATCTGGCTGAGAATCCACTTTGAGCTAACATTTCATATTTGTTCTTACAATTATGTCACCTTGGACAAGTTTAATTCAATATTGGAATTGCAAACTTCATTTTAAGTAAGTTTGATTATTAATTTTTAATTGAAAATTAGAATGAGAACTCATTGCTAATTAAAGAACATACCAATACAGAACATTAATATTGGTTGATAATCAACTGAGAGATATTATAGTGAAAGGTCTGCAAAAACTTGCTTCTTTCTATCTGTATCACTGAAAGTTAACATATTTGATAACTGAATTTCTGAAGGTTTTTTTCATAGTTGTCTGCAGATGGTACATATCTTTGTCTATCAAACTGAAACAATGATTAGAGCCCAAAAACACTGCCATTTTATTTACACCAAAAATGTTGTATAAACACATATCAAACATATACTATATCACAGTACTTATATAATTATATAATGTATAACTAAATACAGTAGAACCCAAGTATAAAGGGTACACCAGGAACTAAAAAAGTGGCCCTACAATAGAGTTATCCCCTGGAAAGGAGTTGACCGCAGTATTAAAAGATAGACGTTCCCACGTTTAGTGCCCGAAAAAGTGTCCCCTTAATAAATGTGGGCGTCCCAAAGGAGGGGTTCTACTGTATATATATTTATATAATTATATTTGAATACACAATTATATACATATTACCTGTAACCAGGTACTTATAAATACACTGTACATGTTACAGTAATATGTTAATGCAGGCATGTACAAAAACATATACCATACACTATACTGTACTAAAATTCTAGACTTTTCTCAGAAACACACAATTACATGATCTAAAAGAAGACACAGTTAAAACTAATGAACCACCGAATGCTGTTATCATAAATCAATACAAATTGTGAAAAAAACATTGTTTTTATCCAAATCGCATATACTATGTTACAGTATTGGAGCACAATTTTGTAGTGCCCAACACTTTTGGCAATTCACAGTTTTTTTGACATCGAGTTCCTTGTTTTTCTGTTTATTAAATATTTTTTATATTATACAGTATATCTACATTAATGGAATAACATAAAATTAAAATGTGCATGTTAACTGTTAAAGACATTGTATCTGTCCAGAATATCAAATTCTCTTTGACAAAAAACTGTTGTATGCCCATATATAGTCATCATATGCCTATATATGGTCATGATGTGATGTCATCATGACCATACTTAGGCATGTCACATGTTTTTGTCAAATAAAGTTTGACAGTCTGCACAGGGCTTTACAGTAATACTTTATATTCCAGAAAATTGTTTTGCCATACAGGACACCAATGCATGCATGGTATTGAACCAAAGACCTTATAAACACAATATAGCGTACTCTGCGGTTTCTGCGTGCAAATTCTGTAATAACGCAGTGTATGGCACCCTTTTGCAAAAGAGATTACTTTTCAACTTTAACCGCTTTGACCATAGTGTACACTGCGCGACTTTACCTTTACGCGTAAGTGTTGACTTGCAATGGCCACTCTCTTTAAAGCAATTAAGGAACAAAAACCTACTTGGTAACAAACTTTGTCATGAAGCGAACACCTTCCATGGCAACAACTAGGGCATCCTCTTCCAAAAGTGATTACTTTTCTGTGAAATTGACGCTTCTATTTTGTTATGCGTAAAACAATATCTTGTGTTTATAAGCCCTTTATATTGAACTCTTTTCTATGTATAGAGGGCAGGCTCTTCTCTTAATATCTTCATCCTTAAGGTAGCAAAATAGATTTATTGAAGATAAATTCAATAAATTTGTTCAAGATTACCCATTAATACATTATATTTCTTACACAATGTCCATTCTCATGGCAAATACAATTCATATTCTAAAAATGGAAGTTTTCCTTGTTTACTAAACTTAAATCACACTAGCAAGCAACAGATGCAATCACAAGCAGTTTGACGCAAAGGCAACACACGTCTATTCCACTGTTATCTCACTCTCTATCCAAAAGTGTTGGTCCATTATGCATGCTAGCTCCAGTGGTGCTCCAGAAATGTGCCAACAGGTGGTCAAACAAGTCCGGCAGGCTTTGGTCCCGGAATTAAATCCCTGGTTGAGGTTCATGGAGAGATATTTTATGGTTAATAGAATGAACAAAAATTGTGTTTTTACACCACAATATTTTGGATTGGCAACCATAATAACTATTTTTAGTCAAATGTCCTAGATTTATGTTGCATAAGCGGGTCCATGTTTTCCTGATTCTCCCCTTGCCCCACCATTAGTTAGCACCACCACTAGCTAGCTCGCTCCTCAGAAACTAGCCCAGTAGTTGCAGTACACACATAATTTCAAAGGACTCATACTGAAAATATACCTCGGTAACTGGCATAGGTTGTTGCGCAATGACTCTGAATTCCTTTAGTGAACTAAACATTACATTACATACAACCAAAAATATATCATTTTACAGACAAAAATAAATATGCTTTATCAACCATTCTACTGTATACAATTTCCACATTAATAATGCTCATGAAATTATAAAACAATTATTCTCAACAGCCAATTACTGCAAAATATCAATTTTTAATAGAAACAAAAAATTATTAAAAGTTGTTACCTTTAAAATAATATCTACAATGCCGACATTTAGTTTAGTATTTTTTTTGTACAGCCTTTACAATGACTATTCTAGGACTGAATGCTAGCAACACTATAAACAGTGCATGGGTACAAGTTATTCTATACCAAAAACAAGTACCAATATATTAAGGATAACCATAAAAAGTACACTAAATAATAATCCCTGTTGTAAACAGTTCTGTATATCATTATTATGTTTATAAACACTGTGTACACTGTATATCAATAGATGAAATCTGTATAAAAACATGAAAGTATCAGAAATAATCTTTTTTTTTTCAAATCTAAACTGCCAGGAATTCAGTCCTCTGTTTAAAATTTTCAGCCAAAAATGATCTTGCACATCTTTATGAATATTATTAGTTTATGTTGCCACAAAAAAAAAAAAAAAAATTGTACTGGCATATATTTTAATAGAATTTGCATTTAGTATCTCTCAACTCTGAGAAGGTATGTTCCTGTGTTATATTTTCAAGGATGATGATCTTCAAAAGTCTAACATGCTCTGCATAAAATTTTAAAGACAAATATCTGTAATTAAACATACACAATTCTTGACTCCTACAAATATGGACACATTCAGTGACACAAAGATGTCTAAATCTGATGTTATACCATTTTAACAGCCAGCAGGATTGCTCCAAATGAAAACATCTAAGCAACTGAGCATGCCATCCAGAATTAAGAACCATGAAAACAATTCAATAAATTCAACCAAAATGTTCTCTTCCAGTCAACAGGTAAAATTTGTATAGAAATTAATGCTGGTTGTAAACAAATCTACCAAACTGTATTTGGCAAGCATGTAAAATTTTAAAGACATACTGCCTGTCATGAGCTTATATAAATTGTGTATATTTAAGCTAGTTATTAAATTTGAATGGGAACAATATTCCCCCCATCAATTAACAGACATGTCCTATAATCAATTTAAGGAATTTTGTAGTAAAATTCATAAAGCAGACAAAACTACAGTAAAGTAAGTAAATTATTTTGATCAAAATTGTAATTGAATTTTTGAGATTCTTTTTTGGCAGCAGGCAGTATATCTTTAATCAGGGAATTTGCAATATAAAATTTAAACCCAATTTAGTTTTAACAATAATTGTTCTGGTAGATTAAATTGGCAGTTTAAAGAATATATGAATATCAATAATAAATACAAACAAAATACAGTACTGTGAACATTTTCTATTTATAGTAGGCAGGCCTATGACAGCTTGTTTGCGAATACTATGACAACAATGATGATGGTGATGACAATGTTATCATGGAGATATGATGACGATTATGACAATGATCGGCATAATGGTGATGATAAGTAACAGAGGCTAATGACAGCCATGATGATGATGATGACATTTATGACAATGATTATGAGGATACAAATAATGGTGATAGCTATTGTATTAATAGTAAAATAATATACTTTTATAGCTTTGCTTCTCATATCTACCTTGCTAAACTTGGTTAGTTATTATAAAACTTTCAAGATGATAGATAAACAGCAAAACTCTATCATTATTAAGTATAATATACCATTAAACATATTTTGACATCATATCTAATTACTATAATACCTTTAAACCTTTATCACATTAAAGCATAAAAAAAATCAATGGTTGCAAACTATTATTCAGGATAAAAATGTGCATACTGTAGTAGTATGTTAAAGTTGTTTAAGTTACATGACACTATCTATTTTTTTTGTTCATATCTAAGTTTATTTGACAAGAATTTAGAATAATCAAAATAAGAGGCTTAATTCCTTTTTGTTATTAACTTGTTCCAAATATTAGGATGTATTCAAATTCCTAATAAATATTCTTCAAAATTTAGAAGTATAAATTTGATATATTTCAGCTCATAATAATAAAAAAAACCCTTATTTATTATCTCATTTTGAGCATGCTCAATTCATTTGTGAGCATACTGACACCATACAATCAAAGGCATGTAACCGAAGTGATTAATGACTCCATGGTTACAATACATTACCTAACCCATCATGAAATGCTATTTTTTAAAATAAATTGTTTGAATTCATTCAATTTTTAATATTCACTTACCATAAATCAAAATCATTCATGTACATTTACATTGTGAAGCATCATGAAAAGAAATTGTAAATAAATATATCACTTTATTGTAAATTAAGATCAATAGGAAATGGAATAGAAAGACAGAGTAGAGTGACACGCTGAAGTGACTTGTCTACGTTACTACAGTATTATAAAGCCACCTGCACTAGGCACACCTGGGCTCAAGTGTAGTCTACGTTATCATAAAGCCACCTGCACTGGGCACACTTGGCCATTAGAAATTGATTGATGTGTAAGTATCACTGCGGTCCTCTTTAGCTTATTTAAAATGTGTCCGGTTCATTGTCTGTAAGAACAAAAATAATCACAATTGGAAAATGTTTCTTAATATTATGATTTCAATGGCTACCCTAATGATACGTTCAAACGTTACTTTACTAATAGCATTCTTAAAACTTTTGTATCACCAAGTGATACATAGCTGGCCAATAAAAGATCTCAGAAAGAAAACTTCTCTCTTTAGGTACAAAAATCTGAATTAAATTATCAACAATTTTCATTAATAAAATAATTTAAGAAATGAAGAGGAGGAAAACAATACACAAGGCTCAAGCATTTACTATCATTTTTCTTTAATCAGTTCTCTACAAATAAGGTCATAAGTTAGTAACATAATACAGTTTTAATTTATTATGACTAGCGAACCCCTATTTTTTTTAAATGGAAAATGAACCCTGTTTTTTACTATGAATAACCAAGCTTATGAACACAGTCCTTTGTTTACATTCATTACATTATTAACGGTACATTTGTACAATTGTTTATGGTTTATTTTCTTCTCTACATTGATGTTAATTGCCTCAAAGTTGTGACAACGAGGCTCTGTATAAATCCAGAATTATTATTTATTATTATTATTCAATACAGCATGCTTTCTTGAATACGATTTGCGGACATTTTTTAACGACTAGAACATTTTCTTGATTGTGAATTAGGGAAAGCTAATGTTATGACTAGTCAGCTATCGGAATATCAAAGGTATTCGCTTAACCACGGACATTTTTTACATAACCCTTGGTTCCGGGTACAAATCCATCTGCAGCATTCCTTGGAAGGCTGAAATGCCACTAATAGCACACCATCTTTTGAATGAGACGTTTTAAGCTTTTAGTCCTGTGTGAAATATGCCTCATGTGCACGCTAAAATTGAGAAGGGATGGTCTCCAGGTGTATAGTACTGTACTGCTCAATTCATCACTCGAATGACCCCAACAGGAAATAAGTTTTTGTGGTTTATCCTGGTGCATTTCATACCAGAATAATCCACCAATCCGATTAGTCACTGAGCAAACTTCAACAATCATAATTTATTAACAAAATAAGTAAATATTTAGAAAATGATAATATAATATTATCTTCCCATAATAAATTATTTTTCTACTGGGTAAATAACATAATTTATCTCATCACAACATTGGTTTAAAAGGCAGATGCCTGACCCGAATGCCAAATCACTTCTCAAGTCCCTGTATAAATATAATTTCTGTTTGCTCTAATTTATAAGCAGTTGTGTAAATTATTCAAATGTATCACATTAACAGATGCCATAACAAAAATGATGCACATTTTGAGATTGCTGAAGGTGTGTTATAAGGTCACATACTGTAATTCTGCAAACAATCAATAGGCTTTCCAAATGGAAAAAATAACTCCTCTACTCCCTCCCTTTTTCTGGTACAACCCTGATTAACCAACTATACTATATTCAGCTTTGGCACTAATGACATATTGATTGTATCGTACACTACACTACATATATCAGTCATGACTGACGCTACTACAAGTAAATTCAAATGTTACATTTAAATTGGGCTTTGACACGACAGTGTATTCAGCAGCTTAATTGAATATGCCACACTCAGTGACACACAAGAATATCCTACAAAAACACTAATTTTTTTAACAGTAAAAAAACAATAAAAATAAAACTACTTGTATATACAATAATATAATTTTAATAGCGCTAAGAACATTTTATAAAAATGTTTATCCAGGAGAGTAGGAGTAGAATCAATAAATTTCTAAAAAATATTCTTTTCTTAGAAAAACAAATTAGATGCTTTCTTCTCATTACTTACTGAATTTTGAGTCATAAAGCGTACTACTTTTGAATGTTAATAATAGTTCACATTTTAGAAAGATATACATAAAGACAAATTTAATTGTCATTCTCGAAACCAGTCATGCATGAAATTAAATTCAGTGCAGTGCCATGTGGTAGGATGTAATTCTTTGCTCACACTTGTTTTTCCCAGAGTCACTCCCTAATTTGCCTTGGTCTATTTTTGATAAAACAAACATTATATCCCTCACCTATATATTACCTTCTAAAAATATAGAATTTTCATAATAATTACATGTTGAATTAATTAAAGTCTCTCAAATTAAATTAAGTCTCACTAGTACTGTAGAATTAAAAGTTCAATCAGCGATTTGCATGCTGAAAACCATGCAGCCTGTCTGAAATGACCTGAATTTACTGGCAGTTGAAACTGATAGCTTTCCTGTTCGTGGTGCTGACAGCATAGTGATTTATAAGAAAAATAGTAGTTAAAAAATAGCTTTCCTATAGTTTACACATCTACTTATACTTCGGAATTGAACTGCTGTACTTTAAATTCTGAGTCTGCAAAAACCATTGGAGAGTGCTTACTTCACGGCAAGGCTTCAGTCATGTTCACATTCAAGTCATAAATTATTGTTTAATTTAAAAAAACAGCATAACAGCATTATTAAAATATTAAGTTAATAGACTGCCCACTCCATTTATACATGATAAACTCATGAATGATATGACTTGATGAACGTAAACTTCATTTTAATCAATATTCTAAAACCTTTTAGCAAAAATAATTACAAGTCTCTATCAATCATCAGCATCTCTCATGGAACCATCAGTCATGTTAGCAGTGTGTGTACAAGTATCAGTTTGCAAGCCGTCAGCATGTCGTCTTGTCCACACACATTAAGTGCTTCAAATTTCTAGCAGTTTTGTGGAATAGATTGCATATTACACTAACTTGTATAAATATGTATGGTAATAAATCCTACAGGCTATGATGATAAAACAAGAGTGATGTAACCAGGGTTAGGGTTCAGGAATTGGAATTAATAAATCCTGAAGGTAATTGAAATTTATTGTTAAAATTTGTTTTCTTTTTTCCAAATGCAAGTTTGTGTAAAGAATACAGTGTTGACAGTTCAAGATACAGATATTTATGCACTGCACTTTATATCTTATTAAATAAAAGGAAGAAAATAGATTTTTTTAAAGAACAAAAATATTTTTTTTTTATGGCAGCAGGAATGTACTATAGCCAAAAAGAAACTTCTACTTCTACAATATTTAAAATCATTAGGCTGATTATCAACAGGCATTGGATTTGTGAAACAAGATATAAAACAGGCTTGCCTAAACATAGTACTATAACACAATAACACACGCCCACATACCTATGGTAAAACATGTTTAATTAATTGTAGCTAAAAACAATGGTTTTTGCACTCTGATAAGTTATTACCCTACAGGTGAGTTAATGTAGGTCATTGACCCATTGATTATCTAACCGTATGCTAACTGTACAGGTACTGTAATCACTGATACAGGTTACAGTATGTCTCCTGAATCTCTGCACTCACTTGCAATGAGTCACTGACGCTAAAGCAAGTTGTCATTTTTGTATTCACATAAAAAACTGCATATATTTAAATGAAAATTGCAAATGGATCCTCCAAGCTTACTGTTAATACAACACTGTTGGCTCTGATATGAAATATTTGATAGTATTATAATACATGTACATACATACTGCAGTATATATAATGTAGGTAGAACTACTGTATACAATACAGGTAAATGCACATTTTCACACCACACACAAGTGCACATCACTGCATACATGTACAATACTAACAATATGGCTTACATAGTGACATATTTTGGCTTGAACAGTTGTGTTACAGATGTACAGGTGTGATATTTCTTGCTGACTTTGATATAGTTAATTGAACAGCATTCTGTACAGCATGCACTATGTGTGCAATGCATTCTTTTATTAAATTGAAGTGCAGAAAAAAATTGTTGTTTGAAGTAGTATAAATATTAAATCATTTATTTATTTTATCTACTTGAAAGTGTAGAAAAAATTTGTTGCTTGTAGCAGTGTCATTTGGTTTGAACAGTTGTGTTACAGATGTACAGGTTTGATATTTCTTACTGACTTTGATATAGTTAATTGAGCAGCATTCTGTACAGTAAGCACCATGTGTGCAATGCATTCTTTTATTAAAATGAAGTGCAGAAAAAAACTGTTGTTTGAAGCAATATAAATATTAAATCATTTATTTATTTTATCTAATTGGAAGTGTAGAAAAAATTGGTTACTTGTAGCGGTTTAATAATTTATTTATTTTATCTATTTTGTAAAACTTAAATAGGGGACATCATCCATTTCAGATGAATTGCCCAATGTGCTTCCCCCCCCCCCTGGTCATTAACTACATAATCAACCATTCACAACGTGTAACCTCATCCCCTCCTTGGAGTTTCATTCTGCATCGATTAACCAGCGTCAGTCTACAATTCATCACCTCAAGATTCAAGCCTACTCTAAAGCTCTGTTGTACACCCCCATATACTGTAGTCACGATGAGCTTAGATACTGTATGGTCAGGATTTGACGTCATCATAAGGGTTTAGCCAACAAGCCATCCGGCCGTCTTTGGACGGCCAACATTTATTTTGAACGGCACTTTTACCATGACGGCTTGGATGGATTGGCCTACTCCTGTCTCTTATACACATCTAGTGCACATCACTGCATACATGTACAATACTAACAATATGGCTTACATAGTGACATATTTTGGCTTGAACAGTTGTGTTACAGATGTACAGGTGTGATATTTCTTGCTGACTTTGATATAGTTAATTGAGCAGCATTCTGTACAGCATGCACTATGTGTGCAATGCATTCTTTTATTAAATTGAAGTGCAGAAAAAAATTGTTGTTTGAAGTAGTATAAATATTAAATCATTTATTTATTTTATCTACTTGGAAGTGTAGAAAAAATTGGTTACTTGTAGCGGTTTAATAATTTATTTATTTTATCTATTTTGTAAAACTTAAATAGGGGACATCATCCATTTCAGATGAATTGCCCAATGTGCTTCCCCCCCGCCCTGGTTATTAACTACATATCAACCATTCACAACGTGTAACCTCATCCCCTCCTTGGAGTTTCTTTCTGCATCGATTAACCATGTGTGCAATGCATTCTTTTAGT